CAGCCGAGCTGACATGTAAGGGAGGCAAGTCGCCAATAGAGGTGGCGAATTACATACAGAGGGTTTTGGCAGGAACCTTAGGGTTTGAGTGCACCAACTTCACCAGAAAGGATAAGTACGCAATGCTAGCTGGTACCGACGGTAGGGTTCCGGTGAAGAAGGAGAAGATATGATCATTGCTCGGAGATGAAGAAATAATACAAAGATTTGGCTGGTTAGCTATTATTATTTAAGGGGCAACAAATTGATAAGTTTGTTTCTGTTGTCTTCACTGCTTACATAATTGTTTCTTTGCAAGTCTTTCTTTGTAATATCTTCAAGTTCTACTTTTAGTACAATAACGATTTAAGAAAAACATGAAACTTGGTATGACCATTTGCTTGGTCAGTTGGTTGTATACTTGTATATATATATTTGTTAATAGTATAAACATGTTATTTTCTTATATGAATGTAGTATAGCAAAAGTCACAACGACTAAAGATCCAGTGTTCTGTCATAACCACTGAAGATCAAATGTACCTCTGGATTCATATCATAAGTTTGGTCATAACAAAAGAGCCGGTCTTAAAGTCACAAACCCAAAATAAAAGAAAACTAGATTTTGATCCGCGCAACCGCGCGGGTGTTTGTTTTCGTTTATAGTTAATTATATAAACATTTTGTTTTCACTTGTAAATTGGTTTATATTATAATAATCACATATTTACGATATGTATAGTACATGTTTTTTAAACATAATAATATTATATAATAAGTGTTTTAATCAAATAGATTGTTTCAAATTTTCTATATTATACATGTTTTTCAAACATGTATTTGTTTCTTCTTCTATATTTTATTGTTTGTTAGATTAGTATTTCATTTTTAGATAAAGTAATATAAATAGAATTTGATTAAATATTAGTGTAATTTAATTTGCAAAGATAATATAAACTTCGAAGAAATTTTTGCTAAAAACTAAACTTATAGCTTCATCAATTAATATTATAAAGAATTTTCAAAAAATAATTTTTTAAACAATTTTTTTTTTCTAAAACAAGATAATTTTAAAAATTTACGTCGAAATAAATTTATCTAATATATATAGCGCGTAAATTTTGTTAGGGTATAAAAATATATCATATTACTAATCTGTGATTTTTGTTAATATATTGTGGATGCATTTAACTATTATTGACATATTTCCTTATAAGTAATAGAAGATTTCTAAACTTATATCTATTGACATATTTTGCGTGACTAACTTGGAAGGTGTGGGGTTAAAATTGTTAAGCATATTATAAAATATAATAATGATAAGATTATTAGAGAGTTAATATAACATAACTTTCTAGTAATGATCCATTTTTATAAAAAAATCACACATGAAATCAAGTCATGACTTCTGTTTTAATATATAAGATGCTGAATTTTTTTATTTTTTTTTTTGAAATTCCCATATAGTATGTTGAACCAAGTCCTCCCACATAGTTCTAGTGTAAAACTAACCACTAGACCAGCGGAAACTTTTAGAAATTGGTGGCCAGTTAGATACTTAGTTTGAAAATATTTAGCCTGATGGCGACCTGAAGCATGGGCTTCTTTTACTTAGACCCATGGCCGTCTCTGCATAACAATTAACGTTAAAGTTAAATATATTTTTATTTATATATATAGTAGCTAATATATTCGATCATGATCTTGTCAGGTATATACAACAATGCATTGAATTCACAAATTATCTACCCATTTTAAAGCGACCAAAAAAATTCATCTGTTCCACAAAAGAAGATTTGTTTTTACTTTTGACAGATAAGAGAGTTATAGCACCACATGGAAAAACACGATGAAAAGTCTCGTCTTTACATCTCTGAAAAATGTGTCTTGATTTTTAGTTTATTCTGAAGTTAAAACAAGAACGTGCTACAAGTTACTATATATACTCCCTCCGTTCCATGATATAAAATGTTTTGGAGAGATTTTGATGTTTTAAAATATAAAATGTTTTGATACCTTTAAAGTATTTTAAATTTATTAAAAAATAGTTAACCAATTAAATCTACTATATTATTTAAAATTGGTTAAATTATGTTTAGTTTATATTAATTAGTAGTATTATCTCTAAAAAGTAAGTTTTTTAATTTTTGAGTATTCAAACAAAACATCTTATATTAAAAAACTGAGGGAGTATGAATTGAGATGGAGTTTGGCAGTTGTAGTGTTCTATGGTGGGCCAGTTATGACTTGTGACTATAACTCTTTTGTCTATGGATCGGAGACTTTGGCTGGGGACATATGATATAAATATATATAGTAACTATGAAAAATTCAGACCGGTTAGAAATCTAAAGATTCAAGATCACGATCAATACTCTTGTATTAGAATTGTGGTTTATGTTTTGACGCAAACCAAAACACTTATGCTAAATCACAAAACCGGATTTAGTGCACCAATTACGTAACTGATGTTTTACACCAGTTTGTTTTCAAAAATAACGTCAAAACGTATTTGTCAATTTCTTTCAAGCTTTTTTTTTTTAGATGTGTAGATTTATCAAAATAACTAGTTGCTTTTTGAAAACAAATTGATTATACTTTATTGAAAAAATCACTTAAATAATTATTTGATCATTGCTAACTTTTGAGAAAAAAAGTAACATTGCACCCAAAAAAGTAACAACATTCCGCAATTTTACAGTACTGTTCGTTTTCTACCTTTAGCTTCGTTTCATGTTAAATTTTAACCAAGCTTTAATTGACAAACCTGTCGAGCGATTACTTGACTGATATCTACCGAGTAGTAGTAATCTGTTTAGTCTGCCAAGAAAAAGCATATCAATTTAAATGACCAATCTAGTTCGGTGCAGATCACTATTTTGATATATAAAGATAGTTAATTAGATTATATTAATAGAAAGCAACCTGTAACCGGGATTTTAGATCCAAATAATCCAAATTAATTAACCATTTCCTAACTAGTTCTATATTTGGTTATATTAACTTGTATATATACATAAATAATTATATTATAATAATAGAAATCAAGCGTAAATCATGATTTTAGATCCGAGTAAAAACCGATTCTTACACAATAACCCAAATTAACCGTTTCCTAACTAGTTCGATATTTGGTCATATTAACTTGTATGTCTTTGCAAGTACATCTAGTTTATCACGGGTTTCATATTGGATACAAGCAGCATATTCTACTCTCCAGTCGCTCTATCTATAAATGGAACAATGAATAGATAATAAAAAACTATGACCATTGTTGGGTCTACTATTGTCATATGATTATGACTCGGCCATTAATTTTCATCACGAGGGTATATCTACTTAGGCACCCTCTTAAATATTTGAACAACCATTGGGCTTCGATAACAACCTCTCCTTTCTGCGAATATTTACTCCCCAATTTATATTTATTTGGAAGTTTTCAACCCAATTGGTTTCAGTAAGTCTCCGATCTTGACTTTCATTTACGATCTTTTGATCTTATCATCGCATGGATTTAGTAGTTCCTTAGGGCATCTCTATCCTACTCCATAATTTACTCTAAAATAGAGTGATGAACAAAAATAAAATATCCTTCCATACATAGTTATGTTTTTATTTTTTTGTTCTTTACTCTATTTTTGAGTAAAATCATGAAATAAATTATAGAGTAGGTATGTTCTTAGACGTTAAAAGAAATAAGCTTTGTAATCAACGACCAATTGATTAGTAGTTAATACACCTATGTTAAATACTTAGTAGAGATTCGGGAAGTCGCATATTTAAACCGAGCTAGGAAGAATTTGCTCTCAAAACATAAAATTTTGTTTTGAATGTGTAGAGGTTTTGGGTCTGAAAACTCGTACGTCTTTAAATTCAGTATCAACCTATTTTAAACTTTAGGAGAGCAAACCCTTCCAAACAGAAGCTGAACGCACAGATCAATTAGATTTCTTTTAGTTTATCCAATAAATGTGATGACGCTCAAAATTCAAAACAAACAAAAAAAAACAAAACTGGAATAAGGTAGGCTTATAACATTGGGTCTATTATGGGCTTGAAGGCCCATTAAGAAACACTATTGTGATCGACAAGACAAAATCATCATATACAAGCAAGTCGACTTGAATCGTCGCCGTTCTTTTCACCAGCGCTTCGGTGCTCCTTTTCCTTCCTTCACTTAATGTTGATCCTCGAAAGTCCACGAGAAAATAGTCGGCAGAGATTTTCTTCTACGTCGAGGCTCTAACTACTACCTCCGTTTCCAAATTTAAGCAAAAAAAAAAACTACTACCTCCGTCAACGTCTGACTTTGTTTTATGTTTCTCGTGCATGGAAAGGAGATCATGATGAGGTACACGTCCAGATATTTAGGGCTCCATTGGGATTTGGGGGAGAGAAGATGTCTTTTTCGTCCTCGAAAAGAGTTGTAAACTTTATCTTGTCTTGTCTTTTTTTTTTATCATTGATTTTTCTTGGCTATCAAGTATGTTTTTGGTTATAGCTTGATATGAACTGGAAGATACAGCCTGTTCTAATTATTTAAAAAACATTTATCTTCAAATTTCTGAATAATAAATAACATAATCAATAAAACCAGCCTTGTGGATTGTTATGACTAAGACTAGTTTAATCAGAGGATAATAAACAATGTTTAAACCTATCTCTGAAATAAATAAAATATACATATCAGCACGTCTTTGCCTGCAATAGCCTTCTGCTTTGTTGTTAGCATTGTTTGTTAGTCATTGATTTTGTTTCCACGTGAGAAGTTAGCTGATGTAGTACTAATGGCGTCTTTTCTGCGAGTTATTGGCAAGTTTATATGTTTATTTTTTATTTTTTTGTGATCTTGTTTGATAATGAAGCACAAGATTCTACATTGTTCATTTCTTGTCATATTATGTTCATCATGTTGGTTACTCAATGCCTTTCCTTATATACGTTGGTTTATTGATTTTTTTCTTTCATCATTCAGTTTTATCATGGGCTTTTACTGTTGCGTGGTTTACCCTCTGGATGTTAATGATATACTTAAGGAACGAGATGAAGCTCAAGTTCACGGACGCAGCTGCAGTAGTGAATGTTTTTGCTGGTGTATCAGCTGTTGCTCATCTTGGCATGCAGTTCTTAGTTGATGCATTTATTGGTCACTTTTGGATGCTCTGCTTCTCTACTTTGGCATTCAGTTTCGTAAGTTCTTACACTTCCTCTCAGCTTTGGTTTCCTCAGATAAGTCAATGGTTTGTAAGATTCGCAGTTCCTGCTTGCTGCGAGGTCTTAGCAATGCTGATTTTTCTATCTGGTGCTAGTTCATACAAACGGGAAAGACCTAGTGGGAGCCCTTTGACAACAGTGTTCCGGGTCTTTGCTGCTTCTGCTTCCAAAATATCTAGTGGATATCAAAGCAACTCAAACCAGCTCTATGAAGATACTGAGTGTGGTCTTGATATGAAGCCCCACACAAGTAGCTTGAGGTTTGTTATACATTTAAAGGCTTAAGTTATTTATGTATGTAGTTCTTGATTCTTGGTTTTTCAAACTCAGGTGCTTGGACAGAGCTGTGATGATCCTTCAAACCGAGCCCTTGGAACTGCAAAGGGAAAACAGATGGAGACTTTGTAGGGTTACAGAAGTTGAGCAAACCAAAAGCGTGATACGCACGGTTCCTTTGTTCACGACATCTCTTATCTCTGGGATTGTATTCTCCCTTGGTAACACTTTCTTTCTCGAACAAGCAAACCATTTGGACTCCAAGTTCGTATCCTGGAACCTCCCTCTCCCACTCCTCTTACTCTTTAGTGAGGCTGCAAGGCTAGGATCTAGAGAGTTATGCGTCATGGCTGCAAAACGCAACGCCAAGTTACCAAAACAAACCAAAACACCATATGGTATACCAGTCTCTATCATCCTATCGGTATTCTGTTCCGCCATTGCTGCTCATGTTGAGTCCATGAGACTCAAAGTGGTTAGAACTCAAGAGACCGTCCCCATGAGTGTTTTCTGGTTGCTCCCACAGTACGTTGTTCTCGGTTCAATCACTGGGATTTATGAAAACAGCTTTGCGCTTTACCTAGAAGAAACAGTTCCCCAAGAGTTAATCAAAACATGGTTTTGTTTAATGTGGGTGTGTGTGGGGTTGGGATCATGAGCAATATTGCTCTTGTTAGTGTGGTGGGTAGAGTAAGCGGAGGTAAATGGTTTCAAGACACAATAGACAAGAGCCGGTTGGATTATTATTATTGGGTGTTAGCAGTTTTGAGCATGTTCAACCTTTTGTTGTATTTCTTTGTAACTTATAGGTGGTGTGTTACAAGAAAATGATCGATAAACTAAGGATTTTTGTGTGCTTAATTTCATTTGTATGTCCTGATAGTGATAGGCCCATGAGGTAGAGGTTATTATGTTGTGGCTTTTGTAAAAACAAATGGCAAGCTTGTGTAAAGTAAACAAATGATGTGTCAATACTTGACAAGTGATTTCTTTGCTTCTATCTACTTGATTTGAGATGTCATCTTTATGAAACATCCAAAAGAATCAAAATTTTTGGTAATGATATGCAATACATCATATTCTATACCACGTCTCTAGTAATATAAGAATACAAAACAATATAAATAGGCGACTAAACCTCTTGGCACATAGATAAACCAGGAGTTCTATATCTTTGTTGGTTTATATATGAGTGTGACAAGACTAACTTTAAAATGAATCTAATAAACCATCAATGACTTTTACGAAACAAAATAAAGTAGGTTATGTCTTAACATGTGGAAAATCAAATCAAATCTAACATTATGGAAGTGAGATTACAAGAATAATTAAGAATCAATGGTCTTGCTTCAAAGTCAAATTTGCCATCATGCGGAGATACTTCTCGTATTACTTACCAAAGGCATCAAAATGGAACCCACCAAACATCAAAGTTAAAGAACAAATTCACCAATAATGTGAAAGGTTATTAATGCTGCAAGCTATGTTTAAATGCATATATGTTTCTGCTGTTACACAGTAGCTATATATTGGTAGTCGAATATGCATAATACTCAGTTAATAGGATTTTAACAATAGAATATATAGAGTATTGTAAAAGTATTGTTAAAAGGACGCACTCTTAAATAATTATGAGTTGGAAGTTGAAAATGTTGACATGATATTAGATAATAATCAGTTCAAAAAACAATATGTAGGAAAAAAGTAAATATTCACATTTAAATGGACTTTAAATATAACATAAAGTAGTGTACTAATCCACCATACTCCCTACTATAAGTTAGTAGGAAAATTCTTATGATAATTCACATAAAGTCCAAAGATAGAGCTATAAAATTGGCAACTTGGTGTGTAACAAAAGCATATCAATCATTATGGCTTTTTGTCCATGGTTTCCTTTAGGCTCTCTATAGATTCTCATTCTCTTGTCAACTTCGAACTTAGAAAGTCATATTTCTAATAAAATAATTGTGAAAACAGAGTAATTAAATATACAATACAAAATCCATGTTTCGACTAGAGATTTGTCAGGACGACAAGTTGTAAAATATCTCAGATTAAATAAATGGAAAACCCACTTTACATATATAGTTTAGCTTCAATATTCGTAAGTATATAGATATGTTTTTAAACTAGCATGCCTATTTATAATTGTATTTATATTCTGATAATTTCCGAAAACTTAAATTACACTTTCTAAACTTCTTATAGGGATATACGGTCTTATGGTCCTAGCATCGATTTTTATTTAAAATAACTTTGGATTTTACATTTTTTATACATCCCATCTAATTTTAGTTCATACTGAGACGTTAATAAAGCACAGCTTATTAGAAGAATATGTAAGTGCAATAATTATATTAATTATTTATGAATTGAAAATACATCAATAAGGGACAAGAACTGATGTAGTTTACATGACACAGCATAGAAAATTGTAATAAGCAATTTGAGCTCACAAGAGTTCCAAATTACACAACACGAAAAACAAAGCTAATCACTCAACAATTAAAATAACCATAACATAGTTAATTTGCTGAAATGCTCGTTGAATCAACCCACAAAAATAAACAATAAATGTCTCGAAAAGAGACATAAGAGCAGCTATTTTTGTATATCCACACCGATCAATAAAAACAAAAAGAGTAAATTAATGATTATTAACTCGTAACCTCTCCGAGATCTTCACCTTGTGCTACATTTGGAGATACGCATTGTACGATTCAAATTGTGATGCGTTTAGAAAACTTTGCTCTTGCAGTTTTGCCATGTAAGGCGTTGATGACATTCCAAGAAGCGTTTCTTGAAACGCACTTTGATTGTAAAANCAATAAAAACAAAAAGAGTAAATTAATGATTATTAACTCGTAACCTCTCCGAGATCTTCACCTTGTGCTACATTTGGAGATACGCATTGTACGATTCAAATTGTGATGCGTTTAGAAAACTTTGCTCTTGCAGTTTTGCCATGTAAGGCGTTGATGACATTCCAAGAAGCGTTTCTTGAAACGCACTTTGATTGTAAAATGCAGCCGAAGTTTCATCGTATATCGTTTGACCTTCCCACTGATCCGATGCCTCTCGATGGCTTCCTCCTAGTGACGGTGGTGAGCATGGTGCGGTTGTGGTGTCAGCGGTTGCGGCATCAGGGGTGTCTGGGATGTTGACGGTGGTGATGTCATGGATGCTTGATCGGCGTTTATCTTTGCCACCGTTGACTTGCCTTATGAAATACTTCTGAGCGTGACTAGCGACTTGCGTTGGCGTCCGTGTGGTCACAAAGTTTCGAGCTATGTTTCTCCAATCGCCTTTTCCATATTTCTTCAGACCCATCAGAAATTGTCTGCGTATTCAACAAATTAAACCAAATAAAATCAAACAGACTCTAACACATAATATCACTAATCACATACATCAAATTCAAATAAGAAAGAAATTTTATTTCTGATGTTGTACTTTATATTAATGTTTCATCATCCAGCCATTAAATACGTATGATTTAATGTGCGTGACTGCGTGAGTAAATTAATTAACTGCACCAAGATCCAATTAAATCATTTCACATCAAACGCGACCAAGAAAGAAGCTAGATTCAATCTGCTCTGTATATAGTTAATTCACCCAGGGATTCATAATCTCAAAACATGACGAAAAATTGTTTAAAATCAGAGTATTATTCTACTACATGTTTAATGTTTAAATTCATTAAAAAATTGGTTTGACAGTCGTAGAAAAGATGTAAAAAGATATTATTTTGTAATCTGTTTAAAATTCAAAGTCAAAGCCTAAAATTCGTTCTAGAGTTATAAAAACAAAAGTAACACTAAAATAATTAATTTGTAAAAGTAAAAACTGTTAGAACATAAACATGTATCTACTACTACTACTATGTAATGGGCGTGTATCCCTGTCTCTAAACCAATACGTAACGTACGCACTAAGGATGCATTTTGTGTGTTGGTGGATGACTGTATTGTCTTGATTAACTATAGAATATAAATAATTATATGACCATTGTTATAATTATAAACACGTTTCCAAGAAAAAGACGTACGTATGTGCAAGTGCAGAGTCCAAATCTAGCATTTGACGTAGGCAAATGGTTAAAGATTAGTGTGTGTGTACCTGTGTTCTTCTTCTGTCCAAGGAACACCTTTCTTCCTCTCATGCTCAGCTGCTCTCGCGGCGGATCCTCTCTTTTCTCCGGCGGCGGCGAAGTAATATCCGTTCATGTTAAACCCATTGTTTCCAACGTCGTAGCCTCCCCAATCTAGTGTGAATGAATCAGAGGCGTAACCAGGGATCGGGATAAGACCAGCTTCGATGTCGCTGACATCTTCCTCTAGCTCTCTGTATTGTTTGATCACATCTCCGACTGTTTTGCCAGGGAGCATAGCTGCGACTTTGAACCATCTGTCCGGTGTGTCTTTGTCGTAAAAGGCTAAAGCGTTTTCGAACTTTTTGTTTTCTTCAGCTGTCCACTTGGCTCCTCTGTTCTCTTGGAACAGCCAGTTTGATGTCTCTATGTATGTTGCTGGTGACATAACTTCGAGTCCTCTGCTCATCTTCTTTTTTTTCAACGGTTCTTGATTGAATTTAAAGAAGAGGGATTTTGATTGTGTGTCAATGGTGGTAAAGAGAGAGGGTTGGGGACTTTGATCTATGAAGATGGCATTTTTTTTTCAAAAGGAATCTGTGCGAGAAAGAGAGATGATAAGCATCTAATAAGATAAGAGAAGAATCTAAAGGAGGAAAACAAGAAGAGATGCTTTTTTTCCAGACTCTAAGGACAAGAAGAAGAGAAAGATTCTGTTTATGAGTGTTGTTGTCTGAACGATAAGCCTCTTTTACCAAACTAGTTTCTTAATGCTAGATCCGAATCCAGAGAAGAAAAATAAATGAAGAGAAACAGAGGATCTCTCTCACATGAGAGCAATGGAGAAACTCAGGTGGGTTGAGAACGTTTGAGAAAGTGAGCAAAACCTTTCTTTCTTCTTCTTCTTTCTCACAAACTCTCAAGTCTAAAAGGGAAGAGAGAGAGAGAGAGAAGAGAGAGATGTATGAAACAGGAATGATCTGAGAGTGAGAGGTGAGTTAAAAAGCTGTTGAGCTGTGATTGTCTATGGCTATTTCCCATACAAAGTTTTCTGAGCCTTTTAATTATTATATTTATATTAAGATCTACTAGTTTTTGCAACTTGTTTTAATTGCTTGACTAATTGAGTACTGAACGTTCTTGGGGTGAAAAATTTTTTCTATTTACAGATTTTTGTTTTGTTTGACAATTTACAAAATTATGATAAAATAACTTCGTTAGTATATAAGTTACTTAAACTAAAACTATCTAATGCTAGAGGACAAATGTATTTCTTAAACATGCGTATAAGTTGTAAGAAATGAAAGTTTTGATGTTTTTTTTTTGAATATTTAAACAAAATAATTACGAATTTTATGATGCTCAAGTCATATATAAAACGATGCTACTGTTGATGTACAAATCATGAAATAGTAACGTTTTCTGTAATTTTATATTTTAAGTATTCCACATCAACAGAGTAGTAGCTATTAGTATACTTCAATTGAAATGAAAAAGATGTCATTTCAAAATGAGATTAGTTGATGATATCAAACATTTCTTTTAATATCTATTTCATAGTACTTTTGCTTCAATCAACCAATAAACACTCGTCGTTGTATAGTCTGTGATATGGCCTTCACACATAAATATAAGTAAAAGACATGTGTCGTCTTCGAATAGGTGAACACGTGTACAGATCTCGTTTATTCTCAAGGAACTTTTTTTATTTATTTGTATGCTTTCAGGACCGTTGATTGATGAGAGATTTTTTTTTTTTTTTTTGGTCATCAATGATTCATTTCGAATCCTATTGGTTTATGTATTTGTTTTGTGGATGCAAATAATAATATAACTCACATAATGGAAGAGATATTTTGCGGCTTAGATGTTGCCTAATTACAGGCCAAAGACGTTTATAGAAGAACCAATCACAGACTCAGACGAGACACACAAACGAGGAGCAACCTTCATTGGCTAGCAAGATTTAAGGTCGGTTAAAAAGTAAGTACTATAGTAGTTTTCCATGGTGTTGACATTAAACCTTTTGGGCACATGAGTTGTTTGTTTGTATTTATATTGAGATGCTTTATTTTATTTTTCTGTTTCATAATTTGGTAACAGTATATTTCTGGACCACAGTTATGATAACATAGAAAATTGGAGAATGTGGTTAAATGCATATTTTGAAATTAGGATGCTAGGAAACAGGAAAACAGCATTATTCTACTACAAACTATGCTTGTATATGAAGGTAGACACCCAAGATTAGTCTTAATCTAAAATACTTAGGATCTAACTAATAATCATTAAATAAACAATAACAAAGACAAAGAATGAAGAGAAACAAAACAATACAAAAAGAAGTGTTTATTTTTCTTGTTCTTTCTCAGTTTTATTAAGCATATTTTTGTTCATAGTTTTTTAGATTAAAAAGAATGAAATAATATTGGAAAATTGTTTTTAAGGAATGTCGAGTAATTTATCATTCTCACTCGTTTCCTAGGGTTACCATTTAGACTCTTATACAAACTACATAAAACTTACAAAAACTTGCACTAATTGGCATAAAAGCCTTATTATTGGTTATAATTCTGATAATGAAAACGTAATGGTCATTACTTTTTTAGTCAAGATCAAAAATCTGTTCCTGGATGCTTTTATTTTAGCCATTATAAATTGTATACGATGGTTATTTAGTTTAGACATTACCATGAGTTTCAATATGAAATCTTTTGGTCAAATAAATAATTGCGTATGAAATGGTAATAATTTCTTAGGGTCTAGTATTTGCCAGACTAAATTAGAGAACTATCAGCGAAGATATTTTATTATAGAATGATGATACCTTGCTTAATTTCTTGGTTCTAACACCAAGGAAGTAATCAAATCGGATAGTACATGGTTTAGTGTCATAACTGCGTGCCTAAAGGTAACAAACTCGTAATAATGAACTTTAGCGAGAGATCGAAACTTAACTAATTGACGTAGGAAACATAGTCATGATGATATTCTAAAAACATCTAAAATTCAAAATGAATGTTTACCAATTACTGTCTATGACATAAGATTATTCCAATTTACTACAAGATTCTTAAGAAATCAAATTAGGTTTAGCAGTTATATTTCTTCACATTACTGTTCCGTTAGAAAAACTTTGTTGCAATACGAATACGTTTGATTAAAATTTGAGATTACATATGATTTTACTGTAGTTTGTGTCTTATTTTATTTAAGATCGCATCATTAAAGGATTTATTTGCACAACTAGATTTTTTTCTGGTAGGTTTAGCAGTCATGGAAGTTCCGACTCACTGAGTAACCTTATCATAGAGATAGAGGACACAATCAGAATTTGATAGCATAGAGGACCGCGAAAGGGTCACTCCCATAGTACAATATTACAGAAATATAAGAATATCTCCAACGTACAATCTCAAAAATATCTTAAGACAAAAGCTGAAAAGAACAAGTAAAACAGAAAAGAGAACTACTACAGTTCTTATAGAAATAGTTATGTTTTTTCTTTTAACTTTTCTTGAACATGTCTTTTTCTCAAGGTTAACTGTTTTTATTACAAAAAATATCAACTTGTTGGTTGTACATAATTTTTCTTCAGATCGGTGTAAATAAATTTAGACGAGTTTTCAGCACTGCTGATGCTCTAATATTTTCGTATTTTAAATTGGTGTATATAATGATATATTTAAGGTTTGAAATTATTCATTTCAAATGATTGATAGAAATAATTTTTTTGATTAAAATGTATTTTCTCACTTTGTTCTAATTTTTATACCTCTTAAATATTCATACAAATACATATATTTATTCATAGGTTATAAAGATTTATGCATTATTTGAGACACTTAGAAGTGAGATTATATATATTTGTGTGTAAATTAAATATAGATCCTGAAATGCTCATTGATCCTTCAACTGGAACTCATAGTCTCGTATCATGGGACAACACTTACTTTTCTGAAGCCTTTCCTAAAAAAACACTTACTTTTCTGTGTCAAAAATCAATTTCTATATTAAATAAACAGCGAAATTCTACTATATACAAATGGGTTAGGTAGCTGAAGTGACCACGCCATAACAGACACAATAATTCTCAAAAGTAATTTTTATTAATTAGTAGTTAATTAGCGGTATAGTAGTTGAGGATTCAACATATCAGTCGAAATTGATATAGGGACACACTGCGTGTATATGTTTTATGACAAAAAATGTTTTACTACAAACTTAGATTTTGGTATATATATCGTACATGCCTATTTTTAAAAATAAGATAAATATTATTGTTCAATACAACTTATTAGAAAGTATTTTTCAAAAAAAAAAAACTTATTAGAAAGTTAGACTTCAAAAATGATCTCGTCGGTTATGTAAAACTCCCTGTAATGCCAAAAAATTACACAGCCATCTTTTTTAGTCTAAAAGATTCATGCAAATTCGATATCATCGAGAGAGGCATGCATAATGTATTCTGGAAGACAACTCTATGTACATATAAACAGACGTTAAAAAATGAAAAAGAATCCCAACTTAGATTCAAACTTTTTAAACTATGGCCAATTGGACTCAGATTCATGAATTTCATTTTTTTTTCAGTTTATCCTTCCATACTATTTCATTAGACCGACGATAAGTAAATAAAGAGCCTTCCCTTCACACTTTATCTAATTCTAATAAGAAGCGCCAGAGAGGTTTTCAGATTAAAAAAATCATTAAATTAGATAATAATTTGATGTTCTCCACATCTGCAACTCTTAGAATTTCAGACTTGTTTAAGTGAAATGTCAGAGTTGTTTGTCCACCACTAACACCCAACACACGATTATATATTTAAAATATTAATAGGCCAGTAAAATATTCAGTAAAGTTAGCATACATTGGTTTTTTAAATTGGTGTGGTGCCAGACAATGACTGGTATTGTTATGAACATTATTATCGTAGAGTTTCCTCAAAGGGAAAACATCTCTTATTTCCGAATGAGGACACTTCTTCTCCCTAATAATTTATTTTGCCTTTGATATAGTTAGCGATGCAGGCAAGTAAAATGTACATTATAATTACAATTCTATTTTTAATTTTACCTTTAATACAAATCTCCGACCTTTCTAGGTTTATTCCCTATATTTGGGTGGTATACTGGTACGTAATACTAATTAATACCTTTCCTAATGGTTTAGTAATTACAATCATCGTCTTGTTGCGATGATATTTGACTCTATTGCTTATTACTACTGTAGATCATATAAAATGAAAACCTTATAAAAATCTTACGCAAGAAAAGTTAAAGTTGTTCCTATATTTTTATTATTAATATTTTCTTTGGTGTAGCAAAATATTCATCCATTTGAAGTCTATATGTTTTATGCTTCACCTTATATTTTATGATGTCATGTGTTACAATGATTTCATATATTCCATCAAATGATGATAATTTAATTAACAATAGTTGTAGTTTAGTTATACATTTTTGTGTGACGAATGAAATGTGATGAAAAACCTGTTTTTAAAAAGAAAAATAAATGTGATGAAACATAGAAAGTTTTTTCTACTTTTCAAATAAAAATCTGGCATCTTTAGTTTTTGTTTTTTATCCGTTAAACACAATTTTATGTATTAGCAACACAATCAATACCGTCTATCATGATTTCAGTATATAAAAATGAACAATCAAACATATAATAACTAACTAATAATAAACGGTTAATATAAGACCATATATTATTAAGAAAAGTATATATATATATATATATATATATATATTAATCTGAAAAATGTTGGTAGAAAAATACATATCTTTTTAATAACAAAATATCATACAAATCATCTTTTAAAATTATATGTCATAAAAAAAATCAGATACGGTCATGACTAGTATTTTAAAGTTGGTTGTATTCGTGACAGCAAAACAATTGAAGTACGCTGCGTAATCATATAGTATTAGGAATAATTAAATGATGGACAACAAAAGAAACGACACGAAGTTGGGAGTAAATAGGGAGCACTGGTGCA